GGAAAGGAACCAACGGCATAAGTATTCATCCGATGCCCCCATCATCATCATGCTGTTTTGATAACGGCTATAGTGCTCCTGGGGATCTGTCTTCCCCTCATACGGTTTGATAGGTTGCCCCCGATATTTGTGGGGGATTTTGGCCGCCAACACCCTTGGGGTGAAAGGCGTTCTAGTGCGGAGCTGAATGAGGGGCTCGCCTGAGCCTTCGGCAAGTTTACGTTTCATTTCCTCCACCTGTGCCCGGAGGTCAGCGTACTCCGGATCCGGCCTCGCTGTGGAAGCCGTCGGGGGTGCCTGTCGATTCTCCTCGAGTTGACGGAGGAGGGCTTCAATGATGTCGTCCTTGGGATCCTTCGGGGCAACCCCTTGGGAGTTGGCCCGGAAGGATTGTGCCTGTGTGATTTGGTGCCTGGCATCATCGGCATGGAGGAGGGCCTTGCCTTTGCTTCGGGGGGGAGGCACGCCCTCGGCACCCAAAGCGGAGGCTCCACTTTCCTGGGGCCTGCTGAGCGCTTGTTTCCCGAGGCGGTCTTGGACCCCTCGGCGTATGGGAGCTCCCCCAAGCCTCTCAAGTGCGGAGGTCCGGGGTTTCTCCTTCATCAAGGGACGTTTATCCCTGGATTGGGCCTCTTGGGAGGCGGTGTCCTGTGCCATGACCCCTTCGGCGTTTCCAATCCCCGGGGGAGGATTGGTGAACAGAGGAGGGAGTGGTGGTAATTGAATAACATTTCCTCCAGCGTAGGGCTGGAGGGGTGCCTGAGAGGCGAGGGCTCCAGAATTGAGAGCCATGTTTTGAACAAAGGCCGCAAAGGCAGCCTGAAGATCGATGGCCGGGGCCGGAGGAGTAACTTGGTTCTCACTCCGATCCCTCCTTCGATTATCAAGGCCAATGCGGGCATCGGGGGTGTTCTTCTGCAGCTGCTGACGTAGGTCAGCGGTGGCTTGCTCTAGTTCGAGGATGACACCACCCTCGGGTACTAAGAGCCTGTTGGAGGCCTCAGCCCCGTTGGTTTCGCCGGGGGCGACGTGGTTCTCCTCCAGAGTTTTAGATTGGGCACGAGTGGTTCTTCCCATCTTTTGGTAAGTGTTTTGTATTTGGTAGAGGGGGAGGGTTTCTTACTTGATAGTTCAGACCTCTCAATGAGAGCACCAAATGATGGATGGTCTACCCGAGGGGTATCTTATCCGAGGGGTTATTGCGGGAATAACTTAGAGAGAAGTCAGAGCCAATAGGAGGAGAGAGAGTCGATTTTATTAAATGAACTCAGCGTGTGTAATCGGGATGTCGATTATTTTTTACAAGGAGATATGGGCTGCTATTTATAGCAGCAATAAATGCGATGAGGGGACACGTGTCAGTAATCCAACGGCCGAAGGGTCACATCAGCCTGGTGGCACCGGCAGTGGTACGTTTACCGCATTGAATGCGGTTGGCGGATGTGACGTGGCATTAAATGCGGTGGTTGGCTGTCCCCAAAAGGAATCTTCGATGATTGAGCATGCTTGGCCGAAGGCTTCTTGCGTAGCCGAGGGCTCCGTGTAACCAAGGACCCCCGTGTACTCGAAGGCCCCGAGTGGCAGAGGGCTACGTTCACCGAAGGCTCCCCAAATGCCGAGGGCTTGGTAATGCCGAAGGCTCATGTTTTTCGCCGTTTTCTCCCAGTAGCTTCGTATGTCAGAGAGGGCTACTTCGTGAGTTTCTGGAGCCTTCGGCCAGGGAGGCCGAAGGCACCCCGGTATGTATTCCGGGCTATTTTGGGGCCTGGGCCGTTGCTTTTGGGCCTGAGTTGTCCTCTGGGCTTATCGGGTATGTGTAGCAGAAGTAGGAGTCTATGGGCCGGGGGTTCCCGGGCCATATACTCCATCACTCTATTTAAGGAATTTTCCCCTAAAAAACTAATTTAATGATAAGTCTTTAACCATACTTATTTTCTTTAGCGGGAAAACTATCAAATAAGCCCTCATAGTATACCTAAAAAGTCAATTAGGCCCTCCAACTAAAACAACACCCAATCAAGTCCCTCAACTATATAAAAACAACCAATGTTGTAATTTAGCCGGTCAATTCTAAATCAAGCAGTCACTCCCAGTCTCCCACGTTTTCTTTCTTTTTTTCCTTTTTTTTGTTCATTTTTCCTCTCTTCCCCCTTTACTTTCTTCTTTATTCTTTGGCCCACCGGCCACCGGCCCACCTCCGTTTCTCCCCCTCTCATTTCATTCTTGCTTCTCCTCTTCCCACTGCCGACATGCTTCCCATTCGTTTTTCTACCGCCCCAATGTATCCCACATATCTATTCTTCTTCCAATTGAGCAACCCAATGACATAGAGAATCTAAATCCGAAGGTGGCCGGCCTGTTCAACTTACTCCGGCGGCGGGCCTCTTCAACTTCCTCCGGAGACGTTGTTGCTTCCGGCCTTATTTATCCCTAAGCTTGGATCACTTCAGCCCATCCGGGTTGACCAACTTTTGAGCTTTGTGGAAGCCGACGGCGAATAAGGAATGCTCCGGCCTCTGGCAGCCTAAAGAAGAAGAAGAAGAAAGAATGGGCATGGCAAAGTGGCGCGGGTTGAAGAAGAAGAAAGGAGCTGGGGAGTGTGGGAACGCTGGCCCGAAGAAGAATAAAGATGGTGGGGTGGACTTGGCTGTACAAGACTAAGAAAGAAGGGGGTAATGGAGGAGAAGGAAGGGGTGGGGGATACGAAGAAGATGAAAAACAAATCAAAAGAAAAATGGCTGTCCGGTTGTGGAAGAAAAGAGCAGGGAAAAATAAAAGAAAACGAAAGAAATAGATAAAAAAAAATCCAAATATCCTAGTTGGACAGCCATGTCACTAAGGTGACCGGTTGACCTAGAAGCAACCTGCTAAATTACAACATTGGTTGTTTTTATATAATTGAGGGACTTAATTGGGTGTTGTTTTAGTTGGAGGGCCTAATTGACTTTTTAGGTATACTTCGAGGGCCTATTTGACAGTTTTCCCTTCTTTAGCTAATATTATTACGTAGGGAGTACTAGTTTTTACTTGGTTCTTGTCATCTCATGAATAGATTAAAAGAGCATTTTAGAATGTGACATACTTCGTTGAATCTAGGAGATCTTGGTTTAAACTAGTTGATTAATTAAATTCAATTTATATATTAGTAATGTTTAATTTTTTTTTGATTCTGTAGGGGAAGTTCTATGTATTTAGGATGTTTCATTGGAAAAGAAATTTTTTAGTATAATTTGATCTGGTCTGAATTAGAAAGTTATGGATTAAAAAGTGGTTAGTGTTGCTATGCATATACTATCACAACCATTGCATAAAATATTGGAAATACATATGATCTTACTATTAGAAAAAATGGCCTCAATATTACTAGTTAGCATTCCATTTCCAAAAATATGACTTATTTTTCTTTTCTCAAAAATATGACTTAGACTCTTCTGTAACCCAACGTCCCAACCCATTCCCTTATCGCAGCCTTCTTTCATCGCAGCTCCCATCTCCACGCGCAACCCTCCTCCATTTCTCCTTCTCTGAATCTGAGACTCTCAAATAGGCCTGTGCAAATCTCTGCCGCCACTTGAAATGGAGAATCCAGCCGTCTGCGTCGCTAGGAAAGGACAATCTGGCCGCCTGCGTCGCTAGTCATCTGCATCGTTGGGAAGGGAGAGCCGTCTGACTGCGTCGCTGCGAACGACCTTCGTCAACGATATCCTCCGCGCGACTGGAGCACATCGTTGCCTCGCCGTGTCCTTCCATTGTCGTCGCCTCTACCCACGCCAACGGTTTCAATCGTAGAGATCCATCAATATCAAGATCTAGATCTGTGACGGCGGCTAGGGTTAGGTTACGGTGGCAGTAGGCTTGGTGAGGTCATGGTAGGGATGGCGTCGTGGTGGTGGTGGCTGGTGGTGGCTTATTGGGTAATCACAGGTTGGGGGAAGTGCTGGTCACTGGCCGTGTCGGCGGCGACCAGGGGTGCCTTGGCGGTTGTCACAACCGAGCCGGCTGGGTGACGCAGGGGATGGGTTGGGGTTGGTGTAGGAGAGGGGCTGGTTTAAGGTTGGTGTAGGAGAGGGGTTGGGATTGGCGGCAGGCGACGGTGGGAGGTGGTGGTTTCCGGCGTGGACGGCAATGATGGAGTTGGGTGGGCAATCACTATGGTTGGTATGCGGGAAATCACTGTGGCCGGCGGGGCAGTCACTTTGCCCGGAGTCACTGAGACGGTGACTGACGGCGGCAGTGCCGGCGGAGACGGCAGTGCCGGTAACGTCGGCGGTGCCGGTGATGGCGGCGGCGGTGCTGGGGTCAGCGGCCACAGAGGTGCTGGTGGCTGGAAAATTAAAATACAAAAGGACCATTAAAATAATAAATGTATGATTAAATACAAGTAATAAATGACTTTTAGCCACTTTTTTGGAAAATTTAAAAGCATGTCACATTTTTGTCATTTAAGTATGAAATGTTACAATATCATCAAAGAAGTTATTTGACTAATAATTAAATTAATTTAAGTAATTGAAACATCGAACATATTTTCTAGGTTAGATTTGTTTCAATACATCATAAATAAAACTAGACAATATAATAGTTAAAGTGTTGAACGGAACACATCAAATCTGGATGAAACAGTACGTAAGAATGAGATAATTGCAAAATACACGTATGTGAGACCTTTATCTGACCAAATAAGATCGATTTAAACAAATTAAATTAGATTCAGACAAAATATTAGTAAAGCATTTATAAGAATAGAAGTTGCGTTAATATTACTCCTTCGTCCAATTCTTTTGTCATACTTTCTGTTTTGACTGATTGCCCAAACAAATGTTTTATTTCTTTTTTGCCAAAAAATGTATGACTCACATCATTTTAACGTATCTATTCAAATGTGAATCACAACTTTTAATTTTCAATCATTTTATAAAAACCACTTTCAAAATGGGACAGAAGTCATATTTAGTTTTTTCTACATCATGTAACCCTTTATCCGAATTTACTGATTCCAGACCTACAAAATCAACGGCGAGAAGGCCGTTCACTTAAACCCACGGCCTCGATCGAAGGATAGCAAAACGTGGAAGGGAAGAGGAGGTTCATGCTGTAATACATGTGGGAGGCATATTCAGGAATTCCCAAATCGCTATTGCTCTATTGCATGCAAAGTAATTCAATTCGCTATTATATTACTCTTAATTTGATTCTTTTCATTATTACTTACATACAGAGATTTACTCTTGTCTTTTTCTTCTTTAATTTCACGGGTGTCACGTTACGTTCATATAAGCTAATATTACCTTAATACTTTAAGCATGCAACTGGTTTTTAATTAGTTAACTAATTCATTTTTATTTCAAGGAAGTAAGGATATTTTTACTTGGACTGAAATTTGTTGGTCTGGTCTGGTTTGGTCTATTTCAGTATGGTCTGGTCTAGTCTGATTTGAATTGGTCTGGTCTGGTAAATGTTTGGTCTCTGTGTATTTTATAACTATAGGTGTTTCGTCTGGTCTGGTCTCGTTTGTTTAAGTCTGGACTGGTCTGGTTCGGGATTGAAAACAATCCGCGTAAAAACATCCTAAGTTAGGATATGAGGAATGTAAGGATGTTTTTAATTGGATTACAATTTTCTAATAAGGTATGGTGTGGTCTAATTAAATCTGGTCTACTACATGTTAGTTTTATAAGTTTGTTTTATAAGTTATATGTTATTAGTATTTTTGAAGTCTAGTATGCCTTGATATGTTTAGAGCCCGTTTGGTAGCACGTAAATCGGCTGTTTTGGCTGATTCTGCTGAAATTTATGAAGTTCTGGCTGAAGTGGCTGCTTTGGCTGTTTCTGCTGATTTAAGTAAAAATTATTTTAAAATATATTTTATTAGTAAAATAAAAAAAAAATTATATGTAAAAATAGCTAAAATGGTCATCTACAGTAACTCCAGCCAATATAGCCAGAAAAGTAACTTCAACCTTACTTTTTATGCTTATTACACAACTCAGCGCGTGAATGTAAAAGTTACGTGTTTGGTGAAAAAGCTGGCTGATAAGCCTCATAAGCCGAAAAATGATGTTACCAAACGGCCTTTTAGTCTGATATGATTTGTTAAATATTTATTTTATACTTTATATGTATATTAATATTGCTGAAGTATGTTTTGATCTGGCATAATCTAATCTAATCTGAGAAAGTCAAAATGAAATTGGTCTTATTTATAACATCCTAAAACTATTTAAATGACAAATATAATTAAATAAGTGAATATAGTAAAATTACATGATGCGTTAATTTGATACGGGGTATACAATTAACGGAAAATGAATGCAAAAAAAACTTTTCAATATTACCTCATTTTCTGACGTGGTGTCTAGGCGGCCGGTACGAATTTGAAATTTTTGAAGTACTCCTACAATCTCGAAAGTACAAATCAAACACTATCCTCTTGGAACATGTTATCTTAGACCTATTTTGTTTCTGCACAAGAGAAATATAGACCAACATTGGACACCATACTAAAATTTGGGAAATTTTATTTGTACAAAATATTTTTGAGACATAGGAATGTGGCCTTAAATGTTAGGCATGGACCCGGTTCGGGCCGCCCGGCCCGGGACCGGCCCGGCCCGCCACTGTGCGAGCCCGGAACCGGCCCGGATCTCGGGTCCGGGTCCGGGTCGGGCCTAGGCCCGGTGGGGTGGCCGGGTCCGGGCTCGGGCCTTGAATTTGGCGAACCGGCCCGGCCGGGTCGGGCCCGGGCCCGGGCCGAATTGATTTTTTTTTAATTTTTTTTTCTTTTTTTGGGGTTAGCCAAGTTGGGCTTGATGGTTAGGAGGGGTTTGGGGGTTTGGGGGGGTGTGGGGGGTGAGTGGGGGGGTTAGGAAAGCAAAAAAAAAAAAAATTATAACCGAACCGGAGGCCCGGCCCGGCCCGCGGCCCGGACCCGGACCGGACCCGGTGGCTACCCGGGCCGGTCCCGGGCCTTCCTTCCCAAAAAAAAAGCCCGGCCGGGCCCGGCCCGGAACCGGAACCGGCCCGGCCCGGGTCCATGACTATTAAATGTTTTTACTTGGACAGTTTTCATTCCAGACCAGATCAAACCAAACTTGAACAGTTATAAAATACACAGAAACTAGATATTTACTAGACCAGACCACATCAGACCAAATCAGATCAGACCAAGTAAAAACATCTTTATTATGTATCAAACAAATGTTTATCTATCCTTACTCCACACAAAAAAGTATCAAAAATGTATTTTTTTATGAAGTTGTAAAGCAATACTCCACACAAGAGACTTCATACCTTAATTTTAACTACCCGAGGTGCAAGAATATTATGGGTTTGTTTGGTTGCTAGCGTTTTTTGCCGGCCCAACACGCTGCAAATACTATTGGCAGCGTGGCTTTCTGCCCAACACGCCAATATCAAACAATACCTATATGATTGTTCATTTAATGCCTTATTACTCCCTCCGGTTCACATTCTTTTTTACAGTTTTTAAGGAAATAAATTTGACTTTACTGTAGAATACACCGTTTTGCACTGTTTGGACACTGTTTGGCACTGTTTGAACACTGATTGGCACTGTTTTGTGTAGATTTGTTTGCCAAATAAGATAAATAAGGAAGTGTAAAGATGATTCTGGAATGGCCCAAAAAGGAAAGTGTAAAGAAGAATGTGAATCGGATGGAGTATTAATTATATTATATTTTTGAAATTTGAATGAACTAGTAAATCATTATACGATAGTATATTTTACAATTGACAGGTTTCTGATGATGCATATAGAGACAAGATTATTTCATTTCAGATTTCACACTTTGGTGAAGTGTCCACAAAGGAAAGCACAGAAAATGAGTGTTGCAGTTCCTTAACTGAGTCTTCTGAGGTATTTCAAGTATGGGTAACATCTACAGGTTTAAAGCCCAAGAAGAAAGTACACAAGAGGAAAAGTGTTCCATGCAGAGCTCCTTTATGCTAATACTAATAAAAAATTATATTGATGTAATCACTCTTTTTTACCTCTTTTAAATCATATTTGTTTGTTGAATTATGTGTTGGTAAAATTCTAACAAAAGGACCTGTTCCGGGATGGGGATGTTAACTAAGGGGTGTTTGGATCTGATTCTTAAAACTACTTCTGCTTCTTTAGGGAGTAGAAGCAGAAGCTGAAGTATTTGGGTGAAGTGCAGAAGTCATTCTAGTTCTCTAATTTACTCCTAGAATCAGTTTTTTTAGAAGTTGGGGTGACCAGCTTCTGAAAACTGATTCTGATTATGCTTCTGCTTTAAAAAAGAAGCAGAAGCAGAATCAGTTCCAAACACCCCCTAATTCCACAATAGAGACAAATATCCAAGAAGAATATCATCAACCTAGAAAAAAAGGCTACTCTAATGTCAAATAGGTCCTCGAACTTTCATAAAAAGGTCAAATAAGTCCTTATATAGGAGGCTATGTCCGGCCGCCGCGATTTGAGGCGGATCCCGGTGGAATTTTTTTGTGAATTTTTTGAGCATCTTACACGTTATGTCTAGTTTACGCATACCAAATTTCAGCTAAAACTTCAATCGGGAACGCATTCAAATTAATTCTTGAAGATAACTGTGCAATTAAATGCGCACTTATCTTCAAGAATTAATTTGAATGCGTTTCCGATTGAAGTTTTAGCTGAAATTTGGTATGAGTAAACTAGACTTAATTAATGTGTAAGATGCTAAAAAAATTTCATCAAAAAATTCCACCGGGAACCGCCCTAAATCGCGACGACCGGGGTAGAGTCTCCTATATAAGGAATTAATGACTTATTTGACCTTTTTATGAAAGTTCGATGACCTATTTGACAATTTTCCCTGAAAAGAATAGACTTGTCGGAATATCTTATTTGTGAATAAATATCGATCAATTACGTATCTCTATTTCATAATTCACGTCACTACCAAAAACACGGGATTGCTTAACACGGATTTTTGGCGGGGATTTCACAAATATGCCAAATATGTGCCAAAAACAGTTTGAAGTGATTTGATACGAAATTTATAGTCCGCGCTATATAACGAAATTTAAAATTTACTTGGCAATATCAAGTACATTTTAGTCAAGTTTATTGTGACTAATTCAATTGTACCTTGTTCACGTAGACCGATTATGTAATTGAAACATAACCAAATTATGAAATTATGACATATTGCATGAACAATAGTGCACATTGTAGGTAGCTAGATCCTCTCAATCAGCTAGCTCGAGTATGTTTAATTAGTTAATTAGCAGTTCGTATACCGTGGTATCACCCCACGGTGAGCACCGTGCTCCCACACACAAAGCGACGTAGTTTTGCACAATTTAAAAAAAAATCGCGTGAACAGTAACGCGTGAACAGTAACTGTTTTTTGTGTCAGCAGTATGAATGATGTAATTCACGTGTAAAGATATATATGTAACTCACACTATTGATCAATGTAACTCCAGTTCATTCGAAATGTAACTTATCAAATACATAGTATAAGAAATAATGAACAAGAAAAAGAGAGTTTAATTGCACAATTACTTTATGTAAACCATGAATATGTTTGGTTTTCAATATCATAGTCATACAAAAATGATTTTAAAAAAAAAAATTTTGTTTCCAAAGTAGGGGTTGATTTTTTTATGCAACTCATGTCATTGCGAATGTAACTCGCGTTGATGGTAAATGTAACTTAGGTGTATACATAGTGTAACTTGTTGATGCAATTCCAAATGTAATTCGCGTATCAGAAGATGTAACTCGCTCATAAGAAGATGTAACTCACGTACATGAAGATGTAAAATCACACACAAAAAGATGTAACTCCGTGTATTACCAAATGTAATTGATGGTATGAGATTAGACAGAGTATATAATAATCTTAATTATATGTATTAGAATTATTAACCTTAAATGTATTACTCGTAGAATATATAACATATAGTCCAATACTATGTATGTAGTTGTTGAAAAGAATAACGATTGAATGTATTTTGGCCTTCCTTAAACAACAAATTGAAATTAATGTATACATCGAACAAGAAAAGAAGCTCCAGGCTCACTCATGCAGCAGGCCATGGCAGATGATCCTCGCTCATCCACCCGTTTTTTTATGCGCCTCACTCCAGGCTGAGATCGTTAAATGGAGATAGCGATAAGCGATTGGGAAGTGGGAACTGATCAGAAGAGGCTCACCTTCTCTGAGAAATAAGAATGACGATTTGCTCCCTTTTTTAATTCTAGAACGATACCGTATGAGGATCGGCACACCATGCTCATGGTGGGTCGATCCCACGGTATAATATGCGGTTAATTAGTTGGTTTGTGTTCGGTTTTTTTCCATTGGTTTTGGTTTGTTTAACTGTTTCAGTCCATTTTAGACAGTCTTGGTTAATAAGTTTGTCATTCTTAAACTTAAAATCGTGAAGCGAACCGCCTATGACTTGATCGTTTTTTGTTTTGTTAGTTTCGGTTTTTTATCGGTTCGGCTTTAATTAATTTGTTTTCTTTATTCACCCCTACTCAGCTCATGACCTAACATCACTAGAATCCTGATAAAACACTAACGTATCTTAGGGAGTTTTTGCGATTGTTTCTACTTTAAAAAAGTGTTTTTAAAGTGATTTTGGAGAAAGTACTTAATAGTAAAAGTTGATAGTGTTTGAGAAAAAAGTGATTCTGAAAAAGTAAAAGTTGGTAGTGTTTGGTAAAATAAATGTTTGTTGTGTAATAGAAAAAGTGAAAAGCAGTTTAAAACATCATTCCACCTTCTTCCAGCTTTTAGCTTTTAATTGATTAATTTAAGTAGAAGTTGTCATTTAAAAACACTCTTTTCAGCTTTTTTAAGCCAAAAGCTGAAAAATGCTTTTTTTAAGCAACTGCAAACACTCCTTTAGTAAGACAAGCCATCATACATACATCTAAATAATTTGTTATTTTGTACTAATGCATATTTTGTACTAATGCATACAAAGCATTTGTTAAAAAAACTGGAATAACTACCCATACAAAAGTGATAACATCATGTGAATATGTGATGATGAAGAATAGTAATTGGTTTAATTGGTGTACTAGACATTATGTAGCCTTCTATATACACAAGGCGGAAGACAACTCTTATCCAACCCATACTAATTACTCCGTATATTCCCTCTGTTTGTGATTCCGATCCCAACTCCCTGTTAATTCAAATTTATCATTTCAAAGTTCAAACAATGTGTTTCCGAAATGTGAGGAACCAAATACATCCTCCTATAATACCCCATACCTACACTTTAACCTTTAAATTGCTCCAACACTCTAATTTTTCATTACATTTTATTTATTAATCTATTAAAAATCATGTTATACAAGTATTTGCTCCATAAAAAATATCATCAAATTCATCTCAAACTTAAAATTCAAATCGTTACAACTAACTAAATAGCAACAAATGTGTCATACTCCGTATGTTTTACAAGTATTTTAATTTAAACAGACGTAAGATTACATGAAGATTGGTAAAATAAGATATCAATTGAATTAAGGGTCTTAGGGATTCAAAATAGTTGGTTTCAACCAACCTGACCCGAACTGAAAATTCAGAGTTTGGTTTCATTTATCCAAACTAACTGACATACCATTTAATTGAGTACGTATACCGTGGGATCATCACATGGTGAGCACCGTGCTCCACATCCAAAAAAACGTCATTTTAATCAATTCAAAAAAAAATCGCGTGAACAGTACACGCATGAACAGTACACGCGTGTACAATACTTTTTTATTTTTTTCTTATTTCAGTAGCAGAATGATGTAACTCACGTGTAAAGAAATATAATTCATATCGTTGATGAATGTAACTCAAATCTAGTTGAAGTGTAACTTGTCCAATGCATAATATAAGAAATAAAATATTGATTTCAATGAAAAAAAGGAGTCTAATTGCCCAATTATTTTACATAAATAGTGTATATGTTTTTTTTTAATATCAGGTCTATAAAAACGAATTTTTTTATAAAAATAATTTTTATTTGAATAGCAGGGGCTTATTGTGTTATATAACTCGCATTATCATGTGGTGTAACACGCGTTTTGGAAAATGTAAATCAAATGTAAACATGATGTAACTTGTTAAGAAAATTTGACATGTAACTCACGGTATAAAATATGTAACTTTTATCAAATTGATATGTCACTTGAATGTATCCAAAATGTAACTTTAGAAATTTCGAAAATGTAAGTTGTGTTAATTAAAATGTAACTTCAGGAAAATAAAACATGTAAATCATGTTAACTGCAATGTAATTGATTTTGATACAAATGTAAACTGCACTTATGGAAATGTAACTTATTCACCAAGATGAGGAAGAATTTATATGAAAACAAAGAAGCATAGAAATTAATAAAAAGGAAAACAAACAGACAAGAATCTAAATTCATTGAAATTCAAATACATCGAGAATCTAAATTAAATTATTTGATGGAAATCTAGGAGACCATCTCCACAGGAGATGAAATTCATTCACGCTTTGGAGCCAGGAGCCTTTATCGAAACAAATCTAGGAGTAGGGCTGGGTCCGAAAAACCGAAAACCGAGAACCGAATCAAATTAAACCGAACCGCAACCAAATAAAACCGAATCGCTAAGAAACCGAAACCGAATGTAAAAAACCGAACCGAAGTTGTTTGGTTCGGTTTTGGTTTTTACCCTTCAAAACCGAACCGAACCGAACAAACCGAACAAACCGAACTATTTAAAATATAAAATTTATATGTTAATTGTTAAGCATTAATTCTAATTAATCTTAATATCATCAGTAGTCTTTGGTTTTCTTGTGCTAGAGAAATAATGTTTGTGTTATGTTTAATTTAATTTAGTTTATAAATTCATTTACATATTCATTGTCAGTAATAATTTAGCAAATTGAATAATGATAATATGTGTTTACTAGTTATTAGTAGTAATTAAC